GATTCTATCTTCCGAAAAAAGAGGCTTTGCAGTATGAAGATTCTTATTGTTTTTGACGATGTAACATTTTTGAGCAAATAGAAAAGTTTACTGGGGATTGTTTTGGTTCTGGAAGTTGTGTCATCATAACATCAAGAGATAAACAAGTGCTTAAAACTTGTGGAGTGATCATGATAAATATATACAAGGTTAAGGAGTTATACATGATGAGGCTGTTGAACTTTTCTGTCGACATGCTTCAAAAAAAATCAACCACTGCAGGTTACAAGGAGCTTCTCAATGGGCACTACATTTGCTAAAGGCATTCCATAGCTCTTAAAATTTTTGGTGACATGCTATTGGCAAGACAAATTCAGAATGGAAAAGTGCATTGAAAAAGCTTGAAAGAATTCCGAACCAGAGATCCAAGATGTGCTGAAAATAAGTTACGATGGACTAGATGATGAAGAACAAAAAATATTTCTAGATATTGCTGTTCTTTAATGGGGATTATGAGGATTTTGTGAAGAACTCCTAGATGATAATGGGTTGCTGTAGACATGGAGTAAGTGTTCTCATGATAAATCTCTATAACTCTATATGGTTGCAAGATAATAATGCATGATTTATATAAGAAATGGGGAGGAATATTGTCTCCGAAGAATCAAAAGATCCTGGCAGCGGAGTAGGTTATGGCAACGTGAAAAATCAACCGTGTATTGAAGACACATGGTGAGAGATCACCTCATTAACTTTTCATACACATATTTGTTCACTTAGTTTTTTATTTGTTATATTATTTTTTAATATGCTTTATGGGGTTGTTCTTGCATGTATGTACACTTTATCCAATTGCCACTGGGAAAGGGATTGATTGATTGAGTGTCTATATTTAAAAATTACCTAAGAAAGTTGAGAAAAGAAAAGTAACCGACAATTATACATATGGGATGCAACTTATTGTCACTTCTGATCACTAGGGGACTGGAGCAATTGAATGCATTCGTTGGAAATGTCAAAAGCAAAACCTTTCAAGTTACATCCCCACGCTTTCCAAACATGCATAACCTCAGATTTTGGATTTTTATTGCGATATTGTTGCTCATGCAACTTTACAACTCACACAGTAAAGGTGGCTACATATGCAGAAGGGCAGATTATAAAAGGTTTATCCTTCTGAAGATGAATTTGTTCTTTTTGAATAAGGTACTTCTGTTGGTATGGATATCCGTTGCCATCATTGCCATCAACTTTGATGTAGAGAATCTTGTTTCACGTCATGCCATGTAGCAAAGATTAAAATTTTGAATTTTGTCCAGGTACTATATACCTTGATATTCTTTTTTTTTTTTTTAAATATATAATACGATTAATTTTTTTTTTCTTGTAGCAATATGATAAAATGAAACACATTAATCTCAGCAACTCAAGCTCCTAACCAGATCCAAGACCTCTCAATGATCCCAAATGTTAGAGTTTGATTCTAGAAGGTTGTACAAGTTTGATAAGGTTTTTTCATCAAAAATATCTCAAGAAGCTGCTATAATCAATCTTCGAGGTTGCAAAAGCCTTAAGAGTTTTCCTAGCACCAGTTGTAAGTTGACCATACTCAAATCAATGATACTGCCATTATGCTGAATACATTTGAATAGACCCTTCTAATTTGTATGCTTTTTTTTTTTTTTTTTTTATCAGCGTTTGAACTCTCTTGAGTCTCTAAATCTATCTGGTTGTCAATGACTAAGTCATTGGACAATATCACCCCATTATCCTTTCTAAGAAATATATATCTTGTTGGACAATTTGAGTTAATACCAGGAATCGAAGAGCTTTCTATTTGGTGTTTGGACGTAAGGAATTGCCAGAGGCTTCGATCCTTGCAGAGTTCCAGGTCTTCGTAGTTGCTGACAACTAATTGCACATCATTAGAGGCATTACATATTCCTGTTAAGGAGTGCAATCATAACCTTGCTAATTGTCCCAAACTGGATAGGAATGTGCTCAAAGCCAACGTGGAAAATGCTCTGAATTATATGTTGAGGTATAGATCTTCTCTCTCCTTTACATATAATATTTTTAAATCTACAATTAAAATTATTTAACAAGTAATTTTAATGTGCTATTCAAAATTCTATTTGATATTTATTATTTGGATTAGAGAAAAAATCCTAAGTGACAAAAAAAAAAAAAAAAAAAAAAAATACTACAATTATTGCTATCTAATCCTTTTTCTTTTTTTTTTTTGGTAAGCATTGATCTTTTAATTTTCATTGTGGTTAGATGTTTTTTCAAAAAAAGTAATATGTTCAGGAAAAACTTCAGTTATTAAAAAACATTTAACAATTTGCAGATTTGTACTTAGAAGAATAGTTTAGTGAGTCCAATAATATTTTCACCCTCTATAAATAGCCGAAGGTATAAATTTATGCTTAAAAATTAAATTATTTTAAAGTAGTTTTAGGTTGAGGAATAATTTTCTTTCTTATTTTGGGTATTATATAATTTAATTGTTGCCCACTTCTCTTAAAAAGTAGTGACTTTCTTGGTGCAGAGGCAGCAGCCTTTAGAACGAACAGGACCATTAAATCTGGCTGTTTCTGGAAATGAAATTCCAAATTGGTATAGCTTTCAAAATATGGGATCTTCATAACACTTCAAGCTACACACAGATCTTATGAACTATAAAGAGATATGCTGTCAAGTCATTGTTGATTGTGTCTTAAAATCTCGACAATCTTATCTTGTTGGTAACGAATTTCCCCTTTTTTGTCAAATCTCGTTCGAAGACAAACATGGTAAGATGAGGCAGTGTTTTCCGCCTCGCTATGCGGATCATGAACCTGTACATGCCTTTCTAACATGTGATCATGTATTCATGACGACTACTTACTCCAGTAGGGGATTTGAACGTGGGTGGAATGAACAAGGGAATGGCTCCGCTGTTGTGGATTTTCTTAGTAATAATCGCTGGGAGGTGAAAAAGTGTGGGGTTAATGTATTGTATGAAAAAGCTGAGGAGGAAGAATCCACGTAAGTTTCAGCACCAAAGAAGAGGAGGAAGGGAAAGAGGAAAAGCAGGTCCAAGAAATTGAAAATATAACAATAATCTTGTTATAAAATATCATGCTTTTGTTTATACAGAGTACGTAGAGTAGGATTCCAAGTTTGGAACCTAATTAATTGCAATTTCATGATAAAATATCATGCTTTTGGTTTGTTTTTTTTTTCCATTAATTATTTTTTTTTATCAATTTTGTTTTAACACTATTTTGTCTATGTTAGGTGCATTAATATTTTAAATTCTTAAAGGATCTGAAAAAATTGAGCAATGGAAATTCTTGATTTCAATAGGTTTGAACAGAGTATAAATATAGGAGCTACAGTCTAATGTCAGATCATGTAATCACGCTAATTTTGATTTTAGTGGGTTTAAGTTATATTTCTACGAACATGGAGGGCATTTCAGCTCAAAACACTGAATATATAATATACTATTCAATATATTAATTATAAAATGCAATCTTTCCTCTATCAATACAAATAGCCATCCAATAACTTCCTGGAAGAAAATGAAAGAGTTTTGTTATAATTTTTTTCTCATCAAAAGAGGATGAAAGTCATTATCTTGTAATTAATGCAATCCTCTATCAACCTTTTTATTTTATTTTTTAAAATATTAAACTTTTATTTGTGTTTTCAATGATGTGATGGCTTATTTGATAACATTATACCAGCTACAACATTATTTTCTAATAAGAATTAAGGAAAAAAAAAAAAAGGCTAGAAGTTTGTATGATTTGCCCCATCCCCAAATTAATGGTTTTTACATATTATAAGATTCTACATACTAAGTATGTGTGGCGTTATTCCTACTATAATGTTACATTATTTGCAAAACAATACTTTTGATATATACTTGAAATGTATATTGCTTTACAAATATATTAACACATTCATAAGAATTACCTATTTCATATCCATTTATATTAATAATGGTTAAACCATTTTGTATTGGATAGAAAGCCCAATGAAATAGCACATAGCACAGGTTAAAGAACAAAATGCATGGTAGTCTCCTTTAAGAATTAGTGGAGGTATGTGTAAATTGGGTTGGACAACTTGGTTAAAAAAAAAAACAAAATCCATTAAGAATTATGAATTTTGAAAGAGCTATTGACATCTACTAATAGACTAAAGAAACCTAATTTCTTGAGATACTCCATTTCAAAGTTCTAAAATGACTTTTTTTATTGCACCCCATAAATTTCACTAATTTAATTCTTGAGATACTCCATTATTAACTTTAAGGTAGTTTTAGGTTGAGGAATAATTTTCTTTCTTATTTTGGGTATTATATAATTTAATTGTTGCCCTACTTCTCTTTTAAAAGTAGCGACTTTCTTGGTGCAGAGGCGGAAGCATTTAGAACCATTCTGGCTTGGCTGCTTCCCTGGAAATGAAATTCCAAATTGGTAAATATGGGATCTTCTATAACACTCAATAGTCTTATGAACTATAAATCAATAGTCTGTTGATAGCAGAGAATTTACCTTTATTTGTGTGTTCACGATCAAAGACGAGCATGGTTAGATGAGGCATGACTCGAGTTGGGGTTTCTACAGTTTCAGTCCGAACCCTGTAATTGGCCATCGCTACCTCTCACTGGAATCTAAATTAACCCCGCATTTTTTCACCTCACAGCATTTTTTACCTTCACTTAAATAATCACAACAAAAATCCAAAACAACGGAGGCATTCCCTAGTTCATTCCACTTATGTTCATCTTCTTTTTTGTTGAAGAACACACTTATCATGTATACATGATCCAGTGACTAGATCATGGAGGGCATTTCAGGTCAAAACACTGAATATATAATATACTTATATAACTACTCAATATTTATTANTTGCTTTACAAATATATTAACACATTCATAAGAATTACCTATTTCATATCCATTTATATTAATAATGGTTAAACCATTTTGTATTGGATAGAAAGCCCAATGAAATAGCACATAGCACAGGTTAAAGAACAAAATGCATGGTAGTCTCCTTTAAGAATTAGTGGAGGTATGTGTAAATTGGGTTGGACAACTTGGTTAAAAAAAAAAACAAAATCCATTAAGAATTATGAATTTTGAAAGAGCTATTGACATCTACTAATAGACTAAAGAAACCTAATTTCTTGAGATACTCCATTTCAAAGTTCTAAAATGACTTTTTTTATTGCACCCCATAAATTTCACTAATTTAATTCTTGAGATACTCCATTATTAACTTTAAGGTAGTTTTAGGTTGAGGAATAATTTTCTTTCTTATTTTGGGTATTATATAATTTAATTGTTGCCCTACTTCTCTTTTAAAAGTAGCGACTTTCTTGGTGCAGAGGCGGAAGCATTTAGAACCATTCTGGCTTGGCTGCTTCCCTGGAAATGAAATTCCAAATTGGTAAATATGGGATCTTCTATAACACTCAATAGTCTTATGAACTATAAATCAATAGTCTGTTGATAGCAGAGAATTTACCTTTATTTGTGGGTTCACGATCAAAGACGAGCATGGTAAGATGAGGCATGACTCGAGTTGGGGTTTCTACAGTTTCAGTCCGAACCCTGTAATTGGCCATCGCTACCTCTCACTAGAATCTAAATTAACCCCGCATTTTTTCACCTCGCAGCATTTTTTACCTTCACTTAAATAATCACAACAAAAATCCAAAACAACGGAGGCATTCCCTAGTTCATTCCACTTATGTTCATCTTCTTTTTTGTGGAAGAACACACTTATCATGTATACATGATCTAGTGACTAGATCATGGAGGGCATTTCAGGTCAAAACACTGAATATATAATATACTTATATAACTACTCAATATTTATTAATTATAAAATGCAATCGTAATTCCTTCCTCTATCAATACAATTAATTTAAATACAATTATCTAATAATATAGATTACATAGTCTTCTATATTTTAAGGTGTAAAGACTAAAGATGGTGGCTCATAAATGCCATGTCCTTTTTCACCAAGTTTTCACGTCTTTTTCTTGGTGAAATTTGGACTCTTTGAAGCAAAATTCTCAAGTTCTGTTAGTGAAGTTCACTTACTTAGTGTCAAGACTAAAGACTATATACATATATTCTAAAGAGGAATTATTTAAACCTGAGGTATGCCCTAACTCAAATAACTCTACACTATAAAGAAATCTTAAAAATATTTATATACAAAGTCATGTGACAAAAAATGAATAGAGGTGCCACACCACTTTATATAGAAATATTTGTAAGATTTCTTTATACGTCTAGTATTATTATTCTCAATCAACCATCTCCCTAAATTATTATATATATTTCCAAGAGAAACTTACTTTAAACCCCCTGAGGTATGCCCTAACTCTAATAAACTCTGGTATTGGAAATAGCCCTGACCACCTATCATTTGTTAGAGTTGATGATATCTGTCATCTGACACACTTAATAGTGAAATTCCTTACTTACCCCTAATTCTAAAATAAAACCATAAAAAAAGAAAGTCAACTGGTCCTCACTTTGAACCTAAAATCAAAATCAAATTAAATAATTCCACTCTGAAATTTCCACACCCTCAATGTAATCCAAATCCCTGGCCCTAAAAACTCCAATCAAGTCAAAAAAACTTAAAACACCTAAAATCTATTAACATCAACAAACCCGACTTAAAAACTCATATCCTCACATTCAAGTTAATTCCAATGACAGCCTCCACACGGCCATGGATGCTACTATCCAAGGCCGCAAAGCCACGACCTGGCATCGCCAGCAAGGCCACGAAGCCACCTTAGCAGTCACTGCTAGGCGCGTTGCCATGGCAGCAGTTGCAAGGCCGCAAACTGCCACTAACAGCAGCTGAAAGGCTAGGCTCAACAGCCCTGCAAGCGTGCTCCGCCACCGAACCCAATCCACCTCCAAATTTATCCATTTACCCTTAACACAACTCAGATAATAATAATAAAAAATTAAAAAAACGAAATCAATGATTGTTTGTGGTTATAGTTGTGATATTTGTGTTTTTTATGACAATTGGATTGATTCAATTTTGGTGAATTGTTTGTACTGTTTAGATTTTGACGGAAAAGTGAGGGTTTGGTTTTGTTTGTGGGGAAGATGAAGATTTCGTTGTTGTGAAGACAAAGATGGGATATTTAAGACCTTTTTTTTTTTAACTAACTTTTGACATTTTGATAATTTTTTATATTTTTTTTACTTCAATCTCTATGGCTTTAGATGAAAACATGCCAACAACAGCATGCCAAATGTATCTTGTTTTTTTATCTCGCATTCTTGCATAAGTACAAAAAAGAATATGCTAAACACATCAATTATCTTACAATTACATACCAGCTAATGCACATCTCATATCCCCAGAGCGTACACTGGTCCAAACACCACGCTCTAACCTGTGTTTAGCAGCCTTCGCTGATGCAAGCTGCAAGCCACTGCAGTAGAAAAATAATGAAATCAGAATAAATAGAGCCCAAGGGGGGGAGGGGAGGAGAAAGAAATCTCAGTTGAGATTATAAAAACTACAAAAAGTTTTCATATAATCACAGGTTAGTTTGCAATATAGCTCAACTACCTGTCTTCACTGTCTAATTGTTCAATACAGTTAGCAGCATGTGCTGCCCTTAAGAATAAAGATTACATATTCCTTGTTAAGGAGTGCAATCATCAACCTTGCTAATTGTCCAAATGGATAGGAATGTGCTCAAAGCCAACGTGGAAAATGCTCTGAAATTATATGTGAGGTCTATAGATCTTTCTCTCTCCTTACATTTAATATATATTTTTAAATCTACAATTAAAATTATTTAACAAGTAATTTTATGTGCTATTCAAAATTCTATTTGATATTTATTATTTTGGATTAGAGAAAAAATCTAAGTGAAAAAAAAAAAAAAAATACTACAAATATTTGCTTCTCAACTCCTTTTCTTTTTTTTTTGGTAAGCATTGATCTTTTAATTTTCTATTGTGGTTAGATGTTATTTGAAAAAAAGTAATAATGTTTCAGGAAAAACTTCAGTTATTAAAAACATTTAACAATTTGCAGATTGTACTTAGAAGAAGAGTTAGTGAGTCCAATAATATTTTACCCTTATAAATAGCCGAAGGTATAAATTTATGCTTAAAAATAACTTTATTTTAAGGTAGTTTTAGGTTGAGGAATATTTCTTTCTTATTTGGGTATTATATAATTTAATTGTTGCCCTACTTCTCTTAAAAAGTAGTGACTTTCTTGGTGCAGAGGCAGCAGCCTTAGAACGAACAGGACCATTAAATCTTGGCTGTTTCCCTGGAAATGAAATCCAAATGGTATAGCTTTCAAAATATGGGATCTTCCATAACACTCAAGCTACTACCAGTCTATGAACTATAAAGAGTATGCTTTCAATTGTGCATTGTTGTAAAATCTCGACAATCTTATCTTGTTGGTAACGAATTTCCCCTTTTTGTCAAATCTCGTTCGAAGACAAACATGGTAAGATGAGCAGTGTTTCAACGCTCGCTATGCGGATCATGAACCTGTCATGCCTTTTTAACATGTGATCATGTATTCATGAGACTACTTCCGTAGGGGATTTGAGTGGGTGGAAATGAAAAGGGAATGGCTCCGTGTTGTGGATTTCTTCGTAATAATCCTGGAGGTGAAAAGTGTGGGGTTAATGTATGTATGAAAAAGCTGAGGAGGAAGAATCCACGTAGTTTCAGCACCAAAGAGAGGAGGAAGGAAAGAGGGAAAAGCAGGTCCAAGAAATTGAAAAATATAACAATAATCTTGTTATAAAATATCATGCTTTTGTTGTATACAGAGTACGTAGAGTAGGATTCCAGTTTGGAACCTAATAATTGCAATTTCATGATAAAATATCATGCTTTTGGTTTGTTTTTTTTTTTCCATTAATTATTTTTTTTATCAAGTTGTTTGTAACACTATTTTGTCTATGTTAGGTGCATTAATATTTAAATTCTTAAAGGATCTGAAAAAATTGAGCAATGGAAATTCTGATTTCAATAGGTTTGAACAGAGTATAAATATAGGAGCTACAGTCTAGTCAGATCATGTAATCACGCTAATTTTGATTTTAGTGGGTTTTAAGTTATATTTTACGAACATGGAGGGCATTTCAGCTCAAAACACTGAATATATAATATACTATTCAATATATTAATTATAAAATGCAATCTTTCCTCTATCAATACAAATAGCCATCCAAAACTTCCTGGAAAGAAATGAAAGAGTTTTGTTATAATTTTTTTCTCATCAAAAGAGGATGAAAGTCATTATCTTGTAATTACTGCAATCCTCTATCAACCTTTTGATTTTATTTTTTAAAATATTAAACTTTTATGTGTGTTTTCAATGATTGTGGTATTTGATAACATTATACCAGCTACAACATGTATTTCTAATAAGAATTAAGGAAAAAAAAAAAAAAGAGCTAGAAGTTGGTATGATTTGCCCCATCCCCAAATTAATGGTTTTTACATATTATAAGATTCTACATACTAAGTATGTGTGGCGTTATTCCTACTATAATGTTAAATATTTGCAAACAATACTTTCGATATATACTGAAATGTATATTACTTTACAAAATATTAAACCATTCATAAGAATACCTATTTCATATCCATTTATAGTAATAAGGTTTAACCCATTTGTATCGGATATAAAGCCCAATGAAATAGAACAGGTAAAGAAAAAAATTCCATGGTAGTCTCTTTTTTTAATATGATATTTAAAGATATAAACTTTATTTCCGCACTGTACTATATACCCCCACCATCTTATGCTAAAATAAAATTGTATATAACTAAATTGAAAAATCAGAAAAAAAAAAAAATTAAAGCTTACAAATCCTTAAAAATAATCTCAAAACATAATACAAATACAATATGATAACACAAAAAATATATAGCGTTAAAAGCTACCAATACTCGAAGGAAATATAACATAAAATTTTAGTGAAACAATAAAAACATATAATTTGTATGCTATAACTTGATATATCATATTGCAAAACTTCTTCTCCATTTAATTATCTTTTTAAAGTTATTTTAATGTGATATTTAATTATTTTTGGATTAGAAAAAAATCAAGTGAAAAATATGTGTGCATTGACGACGTAAACAAAAAAAAAAAAAAAAAAAATGAGTATTGAAGATTTGGCAATACCACATATAATGGACTTCATTGGGATATAAAATTTGAGGATGAATAGTGATACTTTAAAAAAAAAAAAAAACTCATTATCTGTAATAATATCTAATAGCTTCCCGGAAGAAAATGAAAGAGTTTTGTTATAAAATTTTTGTCTCATCAAAAGAAGTTGAAAAGTCATTTCTTGTAATTAAGCAATCCTCTATCAACTTTTTATTTTATTTTTTAAAATATTAAACTTTGTTTGTGCTTTAAATGATGTGATCGCTTAGTTGATAACATTATACAGCTACAACATTATTTCAATAAGAAATAAGAAATTAAAAAAAAAAAAAAAAGGCTAGAAGTTTTGTAGGATTTGCCCCATCCCAAATTAAGGTTTTTACAATTATAAGATTGCTAGATACTAAGTATGTGGGGCTATTCCTACTATAATGTTACATTTTGCAAAAACAATACTTTTGATATACTTGAAATGTACATTGCTTACACTAATATTAAAATTCATAAGAATACCTATTCATATCCATTACATTAATAAGGTTAAACCATTTTGTATTGGATAGAAGCCCAATGAAATAGCACATAGCAAGGTTTAAAGAACAAAATGTAGGTAGTCTCCTTTAAGAAGTTAGTGGAGGTATGTGGTAAATGGGTTGGACACTGGTTAAAAAAAAAAAACAAAACCATAAGAATTATGAATTTTGAAAGAGCTATGACATCTACTAATAGACTAAAGAACCTAATTTCTTTGAGATACTCCATTTCAAAGTCAAAATGACGTTTTATATTTTAATAATCACTTAATTACGAAAACTTTGTTAGCATAGATATTGTAATTAAAGTGCATTATTGTTTCTCCTTTGATTTAATTAAACTTATGAATAAACTGTTTTATATCTTGCTAGGCCTGACTCTACATTGGTAGAGGAAATTGTCAGCTATATTTTGAATAAACTGAACCAAATGTCCCCAAGTGACAACGAGAACCTCATTGGAGTAGAATCAAAAATAGAGGAAGTTGAATCGCTATTATGTCTTGGGTTAAAAGATGTTTCAAGAAGTGTTGGGATTTGGGGAATGGGTGGAATAGGCAAGACAACTCTTGCTCGTGCAATATTCAACAGAATCTCAAGTCAATTTGAAAAGGCACACTTCCAAGATAATGTCCGAAAAGAATGTGAAAAAAGTGAATTAACTGATTTGAGTCAGAAAGTTCTTTTTGCAATATTAGATGATAAAGATGCCAATTTAGATTTCATCTTCACAAAAAGGAGACTTTGCAGTATGAAGATTCTTATTTGTTTTGATGATGTAACATGTTTTGAGCAAATAGAAAAGTTTACTGGTGATTGTTTTGGTTCTGGAAGTCGTATCATCATAACATCAAGAGATAAACAAGTGCTTAAAACTTGTGGAGTGAATCATGATAACATATACAAGGTTAAGGAGTTATCAACTGATGAGGCTGTTGAACTTTTCTGCCGACATGCCTTCAAACAAAATCAACCCACTGCAGGTTACAAGGACCTATCTCAATGGGCACGTACATTTGCTAAAGGCATTCCATTAGCTCTTAAAATTTTTGGTGACATGCTATTTGGCAAGACAGATTCAGAATGGAAAAGTGCATTGAAAAAGCTTGAAAGAATTCTGAATCCAAAGATCCAAGATGTGCTGAAAATAAGTTACGATGGACTAGATGATGAAGAACAAAAAATATTTCTAGATATTGCATGTGTCTTTAATGGGGATTATGAGAATTTTGTGAAGAAAATCCTAAATGACAATGGGTTTGCTACAAAGATAGGAGTAAGTGTTCTCATTGATAAATCTCTCATAACTCTATCAGAAAGTGGCAAGATAATAATGCATGATTTATTACAAGAAATGGGGAGGAATATTGTCTCTAAAGAATCAAAAGATGTTAACAAGCGCAGTAGGTTATGGCGTTGTGAAGATATCTATCGTGTATTGAAGACAAACATGGTGAGAGATACTTACCCAAAAAAAAACATGTTGAGAGATCACCTCATTAACTTTTCATACACATATTTGTTCACTTAGTTTTTTTATTTGTTATTATTATTTGTTAATATGCTTTATGTGTTGTTCTTGCATGTATGTACACTTTTATCCAATTGCTCACTGGGAAAGGGATAAGGTTTGATTGATGTAGTCTATATTTAAATATTAACATAAGAAAGTTGAGAAAAGAAAAGTAATTGAGACTTATTACACATGGGATGCTAACTTACTTTCACTTCTTGATCACTAGGGGACTGGAGAAATTGAATGCATTCGTTTGGAAATGTCAAAAGCAAAACCTTTCAAGTTACATCCCCACGCTTTCTCAAACATGCATAACCTCAGATTCTTGGATTTTTATTGCGATATTGGTTGCTCATGCAACTTTTACAACTCACACTGTAAAGGTGGCTACATATGCAAAGAAGGGCAGACTGATAATAAGGTTCATCCTTCTGAAGATCTTGAATTTGTTCTTTTTGCACTAAGGTACTTCTGTTGGTATGGATATCCGTTGCCATCATTGCCATCAACTTTTGATGTAGAGAATCTTGTTTCACTTGTCATGCCATGTAGCAAGATTAAAATTTTGAATTTTGTCCAGGTACATATATACCTTGAATATTCTTTTTTTTTTTTTTTTAAATTATAATACGATTAATTTTTTTTTTCTTGTAGCAATATGATAAATTGAAACACATTAATCTCAGCAACTCAAAGCTCCTAACCAGAATCCAAGACCTCTCAATGATCCCAAATGTTCAGAGTTTGATTCTAGAAGGTTGTACAAGTTTGATAAAGGTTTTTTCATCTAAAAAATATCTCAAGAAGCTTGCTATAATCAATCTTCGAGGTTGCAAAAGCCTTAAGAGTTTTCCTAGCACCAGTTGTAAGTTGACCATACTCAAATCTAATGATACTGCCATTATGCTGAATACATTTGAATAGACCTTTCTAATTTGTATTGCTTTTTTTTTTTTTTTTTTTTTATCAGCTTTGAGCTCTCTTGAGTCTCTAAATCTATCTGGTTGTCAAATGACTAAGTCATTGGACAATCTCACCCCATTATCCTTTCTAAGAGCATTATATCTGGTCGGAAAAAAATTTGAGTCAATACTAGGCATCGAAGAGCTTTCAAATTTGGTTGTTTTGGACGTAAGGAATTGCCAGAGGCTTCGATCCTTGCCAGAGCTTCCAGGTCTTTGTAGGTTGCTGACAACTAATTGCACATCATTAGAGGCATTACATATTCCTTTGTTAAGGAGTGCAATCATCAACCTTGCTAATTGTCCCAAACTGGATAGGAATGTGCTCAAAGCCAACGTGGAAAATGCTCTGAAATTATATGTTGAGGTCTATAGATCTTTCTCTCTCCTTTACATTTAATATATATTTTTAAATCTACAATTAAAATTATTTAACAAGTAATTTTAATGTGCTATTCAAAATTCTATTTGATATTTATTATTTTTGGATTAGAGAAAAAATCCTAAGTGAAAAAAAAAAAAAATACTACAATTATTTGCTATCTCAACTCCTTTTTCTTTTTTTATTTTTGGTAAGCATTGATCTTTTAATTTTCTATTGTGGTTAGATGTTATTTTCAAAAAAAGTAATAATGTTTCAGGAAAAACTTCAGTTATTAAAAAACATTTAACAATTTGCAGATTTGTACTTAGAAGAATAGTTTAGTGAGTCCAATAATATTTTCACCCTCTATAAATAGCCGAAGGTATAAATTTATGCTTAAAAATTAACTTTATTTTTAAAGTAGTTTTAGGTTGAGGAATAATTTTCTTTCTTATTTTGGGTATTATATAATTTAATTGTTGCCCTACTTCTCTTAAAAAGTAGTGACTTTCTTGGTGCAGAGGCAGCAGCCTTTAGAACGAACAGGACCATTAAATCTTGGCTGTTTCCCTGGAAATGAAATTCCAAATTGGTATAGCTTTCAAAATATGGGATCTTCCATAACACTCAAGCTACTACCAGATCTTATGAACTATAAAGAGATATGCTTTCAATTGTGCATTGTTGTAAAATCTCGACAATCTTATCTTTTTGGTAACGAATTTCCCCTTTTTTGTCAAATCTCGTTCGAAGACAAACATGGTAAGATGATGCAGGTGCAACCGCCTCGCTATGCGGATCATGAACCTGTACATGCCTTTCTAACATGTGATCATGTATTCATGATGACGACTTACTCCGGTAGGGGATTTGAACGTGGGTGGAATGAACAAGGGAACGGCTCCGTTGTTGTGGATTTTCCAAGTAATAATCACTTCGAGGTGAAAAGGTGTGGGGTTAATGTATTGTATGAAAAAGCTGAGGAGGAAGAATCCACGTTAGTTTCAGCACCAAAGAAGAGGAGGAACCGAGGAAGGGAAACATCTGGGCAATGGGAATTCTGTTGTTCAATAGGTTAGAACAGAGTATAAATATAGGAGCTACAGTCTAATGTCAGATATTGTAATCATGCTAATTTTGATTTCAATGGAGAAATTTGGAATTTGAATTAAATTTGGGTTTAAGTTATATTTCTACGAACATGGAGGGCATTTCAGCTCAAAACACTGAATACAAAATATAAGATGTAGAGAATCTTGTTTCACTTGTCATGCCATGTAGCAAGATTAAAATTTTGAATTTTGTCCAGGTACATATATACCTTGAATATTCTTTTTTTTTTTTTTTTAAATTATAATACGATTAATTTTTTTTTTCTTGTAGCAATATGATAAATTGAAACACATTAATCTCAGCAACTCAAAGCTCCTAACCAGAATCCAAGACCTCTCAATGATCCCAAATGTTCAGAGTTTGATTCTAGAAGGTTGTACAAGTTTGATTGAGGTTTTTTCATCTAAAAAATATCTCAAGAGGCTTGCTATAATCAATCGTCGTCGAGGTTGCAAAGGCCTTGAGAGTCTTCCTAGCACTAGTTGTAAGTTGACCATACTCAAATCTAATAATACTGTCATTGTGCTGAATACATTTGAATATACCTTTCTAATTAGTATTGCTTCTTTTATCAGGTTTGAACTCTCTTGAGTTTACAGATCTTTCTAATTGCCAAATCATTAAGTCATTGGACAATCTCAGCCCATCATCCATTCTAAGAAAATTATATCTTAGTGGAAACAATATTGAGTTCATATCACCAAGCATCAGAAAACTTTCAAATTTGGTTGAGTTGGATGTAAACTATTGCTAGAGGCTTCGATCCTTGCCAGAGGCCAGAGCTTCCAGGTCTTTCCATATTGAATGCACAGAATTGCTCATCATTAGAGGCATTACATGTTCCTTTGTTAAGGAGAGCAAAGATCAACCTTGCCAATTGTTCCAAACTGGAAGGGAATGTGCCCAAAGCCGAACTGGAAAATGCCATGAAATTACATGCTAAGNGAGGGGGAGGGAGAGGAGAGGGGGGGTGTGGGAAAGAAATCTCAGTAGAGATTATAAAAACTACAAAGAGTTTTCATATAATCACAGGTTAGTTTGCAATATAGTTCAACTACCTGTCTTCACTGTTTAATTGATCAATGCAGTTAGCAGCATGTGCTGTCCTTAAGAATAAACTCCGGAAGAAATCATGTCAGGAATGATATACTAAACTCACACGAAATCACATTTCTATGCTTTCTCAAAATGCATATTTCCGGGGAAAACTTTAATTTGAATCTCTTCGTATATCTAATGCTAGCCTTCAATATGTCCCTCAATGATGTTCTTTTTCTATTCTATTTTTTTTATTAAATAAACCCTGCATATACCATATATTATTAATGTTGCAAAATATAAATGAATCTCTAAGCTTAACTTCAATTCAAACGCATTAAAGTTGAATTACGTACTACAGTCTCATAAATGCATATGAATTTCATGAATCTTGTGAACATTTAACATGCCGTCTTTCTGAGAAATTAGAATATATGCATTATCAAATTAGTTAACTGACAATTATGAATAAAAAAAACTATTACATAAACATTGATCCAAAACAGCACCATATTGCATTTTTTCTTCGATTGAATCTCACAGGGAAATACTCCTGATCTAAGTATGATGATCCAACTATGGGAATAAAAAAAGAAGGAAACACAAAAATCAATAATCATTCCCAAAGTCAACTAACTCATATATGACAAAACATAATAGAAATCATTTCTAACATTTCCACGGGTAGAGTGCACACATCCAAGTACCAAAATGGATCTTCGGTCTTCTTTCCTTAATTTCCCAAATGCAATTGGTCATATGCTAATTGCAAATTATTTACTTTAGTTCCTTAGTACCATATTGGTCTACCTAATAAATCTAGCAATGCAACAAACTGAAAGTGGGAGAGAAAATACAACCCTTTATCTTCCAACACAAATAAGTCCACAATTGATTTGCTGATTAGTTCCAGAAAATAATTATCATGACACAGATATTTGTTCACTTACCATTTACCCTTTGTGAAAAGAAAATATGAAAAATGGAGAATTCAATCTTTATTTAAGAATTGAAAACACAAAACTTAAAAAAGATGTTTTCCGTCCTTTCATTCTCTAAATTTTATATTTATCATAAGAAAATGATAGCGAACACATTTTTACTGTTTTTATTTTCAGATACTGTATTCAAAAAATAAATTTTTTACTGTTTTTATTTACACAATTTCAAATTCTGAGAACACAAAATCAAACTTCTTATTTTTATTTTCGAATGCATTTTTTTTTTTTTTAAAAACAAAAACACCGAATAACATATATCTAGTATCTTAGCTTAACAGACTTGAGGTTTGCTAAATACAGGAAAGAAAAATAATACAAATGTGAGCAAGTATATAAAAGTACCTCCTCCAACAATATTTGCACAGTCATGATGCATGACTGATCAGATTCCCTGCTCTTCTGCTTCTGATATCCCCTAGGAAGACCATGGTCAAGAGGGAATGCTATCTCCACGTCAAAATCTACTCATGATGTTAAGCAAAGCATTTTCAGGATTTCTGAGTATATAAGCAATAGCACAACAGCGGAGCCAGAGCGATGTGTCAAAACCTGCTCATGCTGTTAAGATAAATAACAGAAAAAATCCCTTATGATAATGTTTTCTCCAATGAGGAATATAGAATTGTTGAGAGAAGGAAGAATTCCATACTGAGTGAAGATATAGTGCTCTTGGATCTATTTGATTCCTCACACTAGTTCTCTGAAAACCCTAACATGAAATCATCAAATCAGGTATAAGAAAGCTTCAATGCCAGAAGATACACTACACAGTTTTATTAAACACATTTTGGATTTGATATAAAAGAAAACAGAAGCACATGAAGACTATGAAGAACTGTTTACATCATTCAGTACATAGCAGTTGACACACTTTTTAGGACATTCTAGTTCCATAGGTTCTGCAGTCTGCTCATGTCATTCCTCATGTTTGCAAATTTATTTTATTCATTTTTTCCGATAGGAAGCTGATTAGATGTATATCGATAGAAATTAAAAAACTGGATCAGATTCCACAAGACTACAAAACGACTCCCAGCAGAGGGGAATCTGGAACTATACAAACACGGATGATAATGCTAACCTGCTGACCACTTACACTATATAAACTTCTAAGGGTCATAAAAATACAAAAATGTACTCCCCTTCACTGCATTTCCTTTTATTTGAGTAAAACGAAAACATTAGCTTAGAAAACATTAGCAAGAATACTAAATTTACCACTGTAAATATGTCTTCCAACCTTTTTATCAAACAAATATCTCTCTATACTATCCAAAAAAAATTTCTCATGATGACTTCAAAGATGAGTTATAATGAGGGCAATATCCCACGGAAAGATCATCCAATCGGTCGATGAAAGCATTCACAGGGAGAGGAACTGATGAATGTGATATCAGGGAGTCATCCTCTGCTGCTATATGAGGAGCTGTTTTCCCCAAATCAACACATCTATAAATGCTAATACTGGTTTCCTTTTCAATATTGGATAATTTATTGATCTGAGAATAAAAACCCTCCCTAGCCTCCTGTTTAAACATAAAAAAAAAATTTGAAATTAAAGAATTTAACTTTCATATGGAATAAAGAGATGTAAAGTAGTTAACATATTATTCAATTTACTCATCCCACTGATATAATCAGAAAGCACAAACATGTTTTTCTGGTCAAAACAATGGCAAAACACAAATCACCTGGTGCAAAAATATAACAAATATTTACTTTTTTGTTTTTATTTCTTTCATCCTTGTGGGTGATATGATGCACATCAATTTCAGCAAACAGTAATATTTCTCGGTTCACTAAGAAAACTAATTAACAAGCCATTAACCTAGTAGTAGATAAATGATACTTAAGTCAATGAACAAGTCCTTCTGGGTAAATTAGGTTTAAACCCTTCATTAACACCAGTCATTAAGATTCACCAGATTATAGTTAATTGTCTCATTGGAATGTCCTTGTCAGTCCTCCAAAACACATTTATTTCCTTTTGCCAAAATTTATTCAGGAAAAATAAGGAGCCAGTTGGTATTGCTTTAAGAAAATGTTTTGACAAAATGAATTCAAAAAATGAAAACAATGAAATGCATTCAGAGTTGTTTTTTTTTTTTTTAATTATTATTATTATTATTTTTTTTTTGGTGAAAATGAGAACAATATATTTTAAACATACAATAGTAGAATACCTTATATAAAAATTTTTAATAATCTTAAAAATAAAGTTAAAATGACTTAAATATAAAAAATAATAATAATAATAATTAAAAAAAAAAATTAACTTCTAAAGATTTTAACTTCTAAAGATTCGCCTCTTTTTTTATATAGGAATGTCATTTTCATGCATAATTCTTACCATAAAAGCACTTATAAACCGATATTCTAGACTTCCACAGATAAACCAAATTCAATAATGAAAGTTCTGTAATGACACAGAAACCAGAACCCTTAAATACAAAAGATCATGTGAAAGAGATAAGATTCAAATTTGCTTATATCCAAGGTTCTATTGATAAGGATTCCAAATCAATTCCAATCCAGAAGTAGAAATTGTGAAACGATAGGGACACTTATCATTTTTCAAGGATCAGATTTAAATACTGCAATATAATATGGAAACTAGAAATTACAGAAGTACAAGACCACTCTGACACTGGCTTAATAAGATCCAGGCCCCAGACAATGTGAAAACAGTAACAGTTATGGTCTATGGGTTATGAATTATTTATTAATAAAATGATCCGGCATTACAATTCTTATTTTGTTATTAATTTGAGACTAAATACTATAAATATGATGTTGCTTCAATATTATCATCCACTGAAATACAAAACAAGACCAACAACATAATGCATGAAAAATCAACAAACCCAAATAACAAAAGCTTTTAAACTTTGCAAAATAAGAAGATTAAAATTAATCTGACTAAAAGAAAAGCATCAAACTTCATGATAAACAGACATTTTAATACTATAAACACGACTTCACTATGATATCACCAAAGAAATACACAAGACCGACAATCTAAAAGACCAAAAATCAACAAACCTAGATGGAAAAAGTCGCTTAGATTACATAGAATCATATGGAGAGTATCAATCTGGCTCATTAAGAGGACCAAAGTGCCTTAAAAGCAGACATGCTAAGGTTATAAATATAACAGGAGCAACAATGTAAAGCACCGAAAATCAACAAACCCGAATAGCAAAAGCACAATATAAACATTAATCTGACTCAATAAAAGCATAAAAAATCCATGAAAAACATACATTTTAGTGTTATAAATATGACTTTGCAATGAAGATCCGCAATATAAAACACGAAAAATAAACAAACCCAGATAGCAAAATCACATAAAAAACATCACTATGGCTCAAAACCTAAGAGAAACAAACATGCGACAAACATACTGATATTATAAATATAACAAGACCAACAATGCAAAACACCAAAAATCAACAAACCCAGAGTGCAAAATGACTTAAAGTGAAGAAATTCAGATGAATAGCATCAATCTGACTCAACAAAGGCATCAAAATTCAAGAAATAACAGAAATGCTAATATTATATATGACAGGACCCATAATTTAAAACGCCAAAAACCAACAAACCCAGATAAAAAAATCACCAAAATTACACAAAATCACAGTAAAAAAATTAATGTGACTCAATAAAAGAATCAAAATTCGTGAAAAACAGACACGATACACGGTAAATATAAATGAGACCCCCACAAACCCACTTAAATTACACACACATACGAAAAAAGATCAATCAATAGTTCAATACCACTCAACAAAAGCATCCAAATTCATGAAAAAACAGATACATTAATATGATATATATAACAAGATCCATAATGAAAAACTCCAAAAACCAACAAACCCAGATAGGGAAATCACTTAAATTATAAAAATCACCAGTAGGGGATGAACATAAATCAATAATAGAATCAAAATTAATTGAAAAAAAAAATAAGAAATGAGAATGATTACTCAGGCATAGGTTGTATCGATTCCAGCAGCGTCCAAAGCGTCGTGCAACGCCAACTTCAGCACACTCGCGGCGTACGGCGCGTGGGATCCGCCCAGACACACTACTCGGAAACACCACGACGACAAGGACGACGGCGGCGGAAATTTGGAGAATTTTGGAGAAGGAGAAAACGATGCCGCAACGTATAACGGAAGAGTCATGATTTACAAAGAAAGAGATGAGGGAATAGAGAGAAAATAAAGTCTAATTATTGGAGGGAAGAGGAAGAGAGAGTGGAGATTTTGTTTGGTAGAAAATGATAAGAGAAATTAAAAATATCAAGGCTGTGAATGAAAAAAGACAAAGATATGTGGATCTTATTAAGATTTTTTTATTTTTGAAAAACGATTACAAGAGATCATATAATTTATTTTTTGATAAAATAATATAGTATCATTTTTAGTCATTTTAATAATAAAATATATTTATAAATCACATTTTACCAAACACGTCAATTATTTATCAGTCAATTATAAGTACTTTAACCAAATACGTATGACCAATTTGGTTCACTCTTTAAAATATTTATTCTGGTTTTCACAATAAAGTTAAACAGTAGAATTGGTATATCAATCCAAATAATTCAAAATATTATTTTATATTATTCAATTCTTTTTAAATTCACTAGATTTGTTAATTTAACTAAACACCCCCCGAATTTTTTTTTAGAAATTGACAAAAACACCTCAACAACCCACATTTGCCAGATTTCAGCCATCACTGTTGGAAGCTGATCAGAATCTAGCATAATGGTACACTGCCAGTTGGATCTGATTGATAGTGCACCGATCTAGCCTTTTCTGACCAGATCCACAGTAGATCTGGTTGGAAAATGCCAAATCCACGGTGAATCTGGTCGGAAAAGGCTAGATCTACGGCTAAGATATTGTTGTCGTTGACAACCAAATGCTGCCGGATTTGGCCGTCAACGACGACAATATCTAGCCATGGATCTGGCTGGAAAATGCTATATCGACGCACGATAGACCAGATCTACAGCCAAGATATTGTTGTCATTGACAACCAAATGCCGCCGGATTTGACCGTCAACGATGACAATATATAGCTATGGATCTGGCTGGAAAAGGCTATATCGACGCACGATCGACTAGATCCAGTCGATCGTGCGCCGATACGGTGACTCCGGCCACTTTTCGACGGTGGTAACCGGCTGTTGATATTTAATGGGCGGGTGGGGGTATTTTTGTTAATTTTTAATAGTTTATTATATGGGTGTTTAGTAAATAAACAAACATAGGGGGTATTTTTATTAATTTTTATTAATTTTCAAATCCTACATCGTAACCCACCCAATTTTACTTTTTTCAAAATATTATTCTAAAAAGTATCAGAATAATGAACCAAATGCACCCGTAATTACTTTAAATTTCAAATGTTTATAAATTTAAATTAGCTTATAAGCATTAGCTGCTTGTAAACTAAATTTCATAAGCTCAGCCAAACATGTTCATAGTTACATGTCTTATAGTTGGGGTAGGAAAATAACTAATAAATTAATGTAGTCACCAAAGCTTTGAAAAAAACCTTAAATTTAGCCGTTTGTGATTGCAAAATAATTTTATTTTTAATATCTCACAATATATTTGACATGATATTTTAAAAAATAAAACTTATCAAAAATTTGAGAAAAGCAGTTTTTTAAATTGTTTAAAAAAAATTATATTTAAAAACATTTCAACCCATCTTAATAAAATACGTTATCATGAAATTTCTTATTTCTCTATTTTTTTTTTTTTTGAAAAAACCAAAAACTATATTTAAATTCTATGTGAAATGAAAGAGTACATAGACAATTTTATTATTATTATTATTATTAACAACCGTTAGATTTTAATATATGAATTATCAGTATTTTTGTTAAAGTTTTTATTGATGCGTGATTTTGATGCCAACAACCTTGCACGTGCAAAGTGCTAAGAAGGTCTTAAAAATTACACATGATTAATATGGGATTTGGATTAAGGTCACAATTTAAAGGAGACAGTGAAGATTTTTATAGTGGTTCGGATGCTTAAAGCGATTCCTACATCCACTTCTATCTATTATATGAGTGTTCTTAGTTATTAGTCAAGTTACAAAGGGGTCGTGAGCAGTGAACAAAAATACAAGAGCTTAGTATTCGGAGAGAATATTAAGCCAATCTCTTTCTCGTAGGTTTGTCTTTGCTATTTGTTTTATTGAAGTCAGAGATCCCGATTTTGTGAGGGGGAGTCCTCTATTTATAGCCACTGAGTTCAAGGTAATGATTACAAGTCTACAAGTGGGTAGGTGTCATAGAAGTCCTTCCTTGCGTCCTATTGGCTGATAACTTAGGAAATATCTTTAAATTATATGGGGCTTGGACAAGTGTGCGGACCACATTCATTCACAGACAAAACTTGAACTTGCTGAGTTGGTGACAATTGTATTCTCTCTATCTTGGGCCAACGTGGCAGATTCTGGGTGGCGCAAAGCCTTTTTGAACTCTGATTGGTGCTCACTGATGTAAGCTTACATAAGCCCTGATTTTTTAGGTATAACAAAAGTTCATTAGTTCCTGAGATTCAAGGGATTGGATCTTGAGAACTTCATGATTATGTCATAATCTAACTTGACTTCAGAAATGCTTGCTCGAGCTAAGGGCTAACTGTAATCAATCGTTGCAGACGACTTAAAGTTGACTACTTGATCTGATTTCTGAAGTGCTATCTTGATTTGACTTGCGAATTGAATGCAGGTTGTGAACTATGACTTGAGAGTAACACAGATGACCTTACTGATCTTTCACTAAGATCTAGCGACCTAAGCTTGATCTTGTCTTGAGTCATAGGAAGGTGTTTTGAACTCTAATGGTCATTCACGACCTAAAAACACTTAGAATATTTTGTTATTGAAAATTTTGAATCATCTCGTTTGGTGTTTGTGTTCAACATGTTGAATAAATGTCTTCTTTGAATGACCTTGTTAGATGTTTTTTGTTGCGCTTGACAACTGGCTTGGTCAAAAAATTAATTTTTATTTGATAGACATGTCTTTGCGCACAATAAGTGTCAACCATGAAGATTAAATGCAAGCCATGTCGAAACGACATTCCTTTTTGGTGCATTAAATCCAGATGAATGTGCATTAAATGCAGATGAATGCGCATTAAATGCAGAACAGATAATCACGCCAGTGATTGGCATTCTTGATAAAGAGAAATGTTGGTTGGTTTCTTCGAGGCGTGGGAGTTACTCTTCCCATGGATCGATGACATGTGGTCGCGATCTATGGCTAAGAATGAAATCCCGCCTAAACGTCACTTATAAAAAAGCTTAGTGTCATCTTCCTCACTATAAAACCCTAACTTCACCCTCATTTTTCAGAAAACTCAAATTTTTTAGAGAGAAAATAGTATTTTCTTCCTCCAAAAAATTTGTTCTTCCTTCACTAGTTCATGTGAACCCAACGCTACAACAGATCACCCATTTCAAGCAACCGAGAGGTACAAAAATTTCTTCCTTTTTCTCCTTTTCACATTCCTGCAACAATTCTTTCTTTTACAGTCATGGTGGTTATGGGTATTTGGTAGGTTTAGGAAAGAAGCATTCCTAGGTAGTATTTGAAAGAAACACTCGAAGGTTTAAAACTTAGGGTAAAGAGTCCTAAATGACTATTTTAGGAGTTTCTTAGGGGTTTAGAAGCTTGACGGCCATGGTAAAAAACATAGGGTTCTTTTACACGTCTTTTGAGTCATCGTATGAAGTAGATTTTTCAAGGTTTGGGTCTTCTCTAAATGTCGTACCTTTACAGACTCTAAAGCCAATGTAATCTCTAAAATGAGAATAGCTGATGGAGAAAGCTCACACCCACCATGTACCTCTGCAGGGCCCGAGAAGGTGATAAGGTCAACCGTCTCAATGGATGAAATCAAAAAGGCATTAGAGCAATATGCAATTGACATGGATGTGTAACGAAAGAGGACGTACACTGCCAAGATCCTCTCGAGGGAATGACTGCGATCTCAGAAGCTATTTTCAAATGCGGAGTGAGAATACCCTTCTAGCCCTATATTAGGTTGATTCTCGACCACTTCCAAGTCGCACCATTCCAACTGACGTTGAACACATATATAATCATTGTTGCTATGTATATATTGTTATGCGAACATGAACTCAGGGAGCCAATGGCGCTAGATCTCGCTTGCACCTATATCTTGAAGAAGAGCTAAAGATAAGGACTCATACTACCTCTCCAAACGACCAATAATCGAGGGTGGAATATTTGGTTATCTTAGTAACGTGGGAGTTTATAAAACCAAATATTTTTTCTTTAAGTACAACATTATCGTAAATTTCAAGAATCGAGTGGATTTTTTCCTTCCATTTTCAAGTCGTTCGTCTGTTTGTACTTAATTCCTTTTCAGGGTATAAGCTAACGAACTCTTTTCTTTGTAGGAAAATAGAACGATTAGATTGCAATAGTTGACTAATCGTAGCCGCATTCAAGCATTCGACCAACTACCTGACAGAAGTCGTGATGTGAAGCTGCTCATGATGACTGAAAATCTTCGAAAGTACAAATTCTTTCCCCCTGAGGCGTAGCTAGAATGTTTAGCTTGTAAGTTTTTCCTAAACAGAAAAAAACCCAAGTCTTTTGCATATTTAGACTCTTTTTCCTGATCGCGTTTGTATGCCATGCAGTCGAAGAAATCTAAGTGATCTGGGGGAATCATCTTCCCTAGGTTGAATCCAGATTCATAACCTAGACTAACTTCAAGCAATGTCCCCGTAGCGGGGACCCAAGCTAGTGCCGAAAGGCAAACAAATATGGAGTGACGTGAAGAAGCTCCCTAGCTTATTGCAGCATATCTGACGAAGAAGAAGACTATAGGCATGAAGAGGAGGAAGGTGATAGCAACTAAAGTATCTGAGTCTAAGTCTGATGACTTCGGGATACTATTGAGTAGGTTCAACCTTCCCAACTTCCTACTTCGAAGGTCACTTCAAAAGATGTTCCGAAGGCATTAGAAGGGAAGGAATGTGTGGCCATTCAAGGAGAAGCCGGCTAGGAATAGACCGACGAGATCCCTACCATAAGAGGTCGGGATCAATCCGTTTTAGAGCTCATAGGGCAGATTCCATATCACCTAAGGTCAGTCGTCTTTACTCTCCTTGAGTGCAAACTAGAGTCGACCTTTGAAAGATACATAGCCTCCAGGCATTCCAACCTCCTAACCATTGCGCTCTAGATGCAAAACCAGGTAAAACAAGCCTTTCTCTTTGTAAACT